GATTGCTGTGTGTTGAACCATCTTTGCATGCCAGAAATAAATTCCAGTTGTTCGTGGTATATGATATTTACTGTAACTGAATTCAGTTTGCTAACATTTCTTGAGGAATTTGGCATTAATAATCTTATAATTTTGAGCTGTCATGTTTGGTGTATGTATGCTTATATGTCTTCTTGGCTAATTTACTCTTTTATTAGTATGTACAAGTCCCTTTTCTGTCTTTTGTAAACAATTTTAGAATTAAAGTCTATTATGTTGAATATTATTATAACAATATAAGTTCTCTTCTGGTTTTCTATTTGCTTGGAATCTCTTATTCTATCATTTCACTCTCAACCCACTTCTATCCTTAACCTTAAGTGAATCTATTAGAGATTCATATCATTAGATCCTGTGTTTTTGTTTTTGTTTTGTACTGTTTTTCTATTCTGTGACTATCTATCTATACCTGGTGATTCTAGTTCGGGTACATGCAAAGTTCTCCGAGAGACAAGCGATGCAGCAGCAGCAGCCGCAGGTCGCGGGCGATGCTGCGGCAGCCCAGGCGGGCCGCCAGGGCCTGGGCCAGGGCCCCCGGGTCCCCGAGCTCCACGGGGCCCCTCTCGCTGGCCGCGCACCTCCCCGCCGCCCCAGGGCGCGCGGGGTCCGGGTGCTGCTGCCAGCGCCACGCCTGCCGCGAGGGTGGGCTGGGGCACAGACAGCGGCTAGGGGGCGAGGAGGACCGTGGTGGGGAGAGGGAGAGGTGGTTCTGGTGGAAGAGGGCGGGGGAGGTCGCGGGAGAGGAGGAGCAGGGGCGCGGGGCGGAGTCCGAGTTGGAGTCAGAAGAGCAGAACTGGAAGCCGGGAGAGCGGGGAGAAGTGGGGAAGAGGAAGGGGGGCGGAGTGGGAGAGGAGACAGGTGGGCGGGAGGTGGGCAGGGGCTGGAGGCCCGGGGCCGAGGAGCCCGTGAGTGGCGAGAGGCCCCGAGGGGGGCACCCGGCGGGCACTGGGTCCTGCGGCGCCTGGCTTTTGTCCTGAGGCAACATTGCCACGAACCCAGAAGGGGCTGGGGCAGCACGACCGGAGACCCAGCAGCGTCAGGACCAGTCTCCGAGACCGGCTGCGCCTGAGAAACACAGGTCACCGTCCGTGCACAAAATGTGGCTCCAGCCCGTGTCGGTGCAATGTGGGCACGGGCCCAGGGGACGCCAGTCCCGCAGCACCAGGGTCTGGGCGCCAGGCAGGAGCTGGGCCTAAGCTTGGCTTCTCACTTCTTCGCAGTCAGCCATGGATGAGGGCGGTGTGGGATGCGGAGTCCAAGCTTCCTCTGGGAGCTGAAGGCAGCGATCCCTTGCGTGGGGCGGGGAGGCAGAGCCTGCAGACCTTCAGAGGAGAGAGGGCCCGAGGTGCTTCCAGTCTGTCCACTCCTGGCTCTGCCTCGTGCCGGAAGCTCCAGGCTGGCTCACCAAGACCTTGAATCCATGTCACTGTGGGGTGGGAAGAGCTGACCACATGCCTCCAGTGAGAAGTGGAGAGGAGAGAGGAGAGGACCGGGGAGGGAGGGAGGTTGGGACAAGGGAGTCTTGGCCGGGAAGGACGGCAAAGTGTGGTGCTCTGGTGCAGGAGCTCACCCAGGAGAGTCCTATGGGCTGGTTCACTTCAGCGATGAGGGGACTTGGGGTGAGAGGAGCAGTCATCTAGCAAGGGACGTACATCCTCTGTCCCTGCATCTGTCACTGTCACCTCGCTGACCCCGTTGCCCTCTGACCCTCAGTTTGTCTTCAGCCATATGCAAGGTTTTGCTCTCCTAGTCCTGACTCAGGGCTCCCACGAGCATGCTAGCTTCCAGCCACTCTGGTTCCCCGACCCTTTTGGCCCCTAATGCTGATGTCCTCTATCTCAGCCTGGCCCTGGCTGAGAGGGCTTACTGCCCCCAGCAGCAGTTTCAGAAGACTGGGAACTTGTCCAAGGGGTGGTGTTGCTGCCCCCACAGGAGCTGGGGGCCCCGTGCCCTGAGGGCAGTTCTCCCTGGCATCAAGTGTGTGTGTCACAGAACACGTGCTGACCTCATAGAACTCAAGGCGCTGGGGCCTTCTTTCAGAGGTCATCCGAACACCCGGGAAGCAGGGAGAATTCTCCAGTGCACTCAGTTTCCCCTTTGGGCCAGCCCCACCCCTCCTCCAACCACAGAACCTGTCAGGGCTGACCTCGTGTGCCCCACCTTCCCCCCATGTTTATTATACATTTTAATAACTACTAGTAGCTTTATTGGCATGTAATTCACAGACCATACAACTCACCCATTTAAAGTGTACGGTTTAGTGTGTTCTGGTAACTTACAGGGCGGTGCCTCCACCACCACAGTCTTGTTTCAGAACACTTTTGTCCCCCAGAAAGAAACCCTGTTCCCACTGGCAGTCACTCCCCAGCCCCTCAGGGCACGGGGTCCCTAGCTCCCATTGGGGTGGCAACATCGCCCCTTGGACAAGCTCCCAGTCTCCAGAGTTTTCTACAAGCTGACCCCACTTCTGCCACTGCTGCTGGGCGCAGTAAACCTAAGCCCAGGGCCAAGCTGAGCTAGAGGACATCAGCATCAGGGACTACACGGGGTCGGAGGAAGCAGAGTGGCTGGAAGCCAGCATGCTCGTGGAACCCCTGAGTCAGGACTAGAAAACCACAAGTCTACTTTCTGTTTCTGTGGGTTTGGATGTAGACATTGCACATACGTGGACTCATGTAACATGTGGCCCTTGGTATCTGACTTCTTTTACTTAGTGTGTTTGCAAGCTTCATTCATGTTGTAGCATTGTCACCACCTTATTCCTTTTTATTGCTGAATAATATTTATTTGTATGGCTATGTCATGTTTTGTTTATTCATTAGTTGCTAGACGATTAAAAATTTGATATGCCGTACTTTTGTTCATCCATTAATAGATGGACATTTTAGTTCTTTCTACTTTTTGGCAATTATGGATAATACTCTGTGAACATTCTCGTACAAGTTTTGTCTGGACATGTTTTTTCATTCTTCTTGAGTAGGTGTTGATACCTAGTAGTAGGATTGCTGTTAACACAGGAAATCTAGATTTTTTTTTTTTTTTTTGTAGAGAGGAAGTCTCATTACACAGCCCATGCCAGTCTTGAGCTCCTGACCTCAAGCAGTCGTTCCGTCTTGGCCTCTAAGAGCACTGGGTAAATCTAACCCAGTATTTCTAATTTTCTCTTTTTGGTTCCTGGAAGGCTTTTTCTCTCCAGGGCAGTTCATCATAATAAGATTAGGAAAGAGAATGAGATATGGCTTGTATAAATTGAGAAAGGGACACATCTGAAAGAGTGGGTAGTGGGAAAGGAGAACCAGGCAAGATTTCAGGCGTCTCAGTTTTAGGAAGGCGAGAATGTGGGAGTTGAGGCCTGCTGTAGGAACTGGAGTGTTTCCTAGATGCAGGACTCACGGTGCTAAGCCAAGACGGTCTCAGATAAACTGAGACAATTGGTCGCCCTAGAACTTGAGTCCTTTTGGAGAGCATTTGTGTTCTGGAGGTGTGAGGATCCCAATCTTAATTTGAAGATTGCTGTTAGTCACATAATAGATACTTGTTCTTTGTCTTGAGTGATGGAAGCATCTTTTGTTACTCACAATGAGTCCCTTGTAACCATACCTGAGTTCATTCTACTGGGGTGACTGTTGCTGGGCCTCCAAATAGCTTCAGGATGGGCACTTTTAGCCAGAGGAACCAACCATGGCATTAGACGGTTGGAACTCTCAGTCCCACCTCCTTGACCACCAGGAAAAGAAGGGCTTGAGTTGAGTTCAATCTCCAATGGCCAGTAATGTAATCCACCATGCTTAGGTAATGGAATCTCTGTTAAAAAAAAACAAAAAAACAAAAAACCAAACCCAAATACCTGGGTTGGTGAACACAGAGGAACCCAGAGAGGGCATGGAGGCTGCCCCTCTCCCCTTCACCCCTGGCCCCATGTGTCTCTCCCCTTCAGCTGTCCCTGAGGTGTAGCCTTTGTGATAAACAGGACGTTTAATAAAATATTTTCCTGGGTTCTGTGAGCTGTTCTAGCAAATTTTCAAACCCTTGGAGGGCGTCATGGGACCCTCAGATTTCTAGCCCTTTGCTCAGAAGTACAGGTGGCCCAAGGACTTGCAACTAGCACCTAACCTGGAGGCAGGCTTGTGGGACTATGAGCACCTTTAGTTGGCATGATCTCGCACCAACTCTGGATAGATGGTGTCAGAACTGGATTGAGTTGAATTGCTGGGCACCCAGTTGGTGTCAAAATGTAGTCTGCGTCCACGTTTTTTATTTGCCATGTGAAATCATAGTTGCAGGGACTGACTGCTTTCAACATCACCGGCATTCTGAAATCACGTGCGTGGGAGTCAGATGTTCAATGCGTGGTCTCAGAACAAGGCAAGTTGCATGAAGTGATAAATTTATTGTCTAGTAGCCTCAAGCTAAAAGAGTGTTTCTTCTCGGTTGGAAAGCTCAAAGCTCATTGGATAAAGCTCCACCTTTTCTGAACAGCATTGGGATGAGTATTACCAACTTGCTTCTGTGACTCTTTTTTTCCTGCTCTTCCAAGGCTGAGGGATGCATTCTTTAGACCAGCTGCTATGGAAGTTTGCTACTTGGGCATTGAAACGTGCATTCTTGTGCTCTGACCCACTGTTGCTTTTGCAGTTCAGCAGTGCAATTTAACTTATCCCCCAAGTGCTTGTAGGCACCTAAATACAGTCCTTAAGTACTTATCACATAGAGTTTCTCACAGTACCTTTTTTCTGCCTTTTCTTTTTTGAGTTGGAGTCTTACTCTGTCACCCAGACTGGAGTTCAGTGGCCGCTCCCGGCCACCGCAGCCTCAACCTGCCGGGCTCCAGCGATCCTTCCGCCTCAGCCTTCCGAGTAGCTGGAACTACAGGCGCGCGCTACCACGCCCGGCTGATTTTTTGATTTATTGTAGAGATGAGGTCTCACTGCCCAGGTGGGTCTCGAACCCACAGGTTCAGGCAATCCACTCACCTCAGCCTCCCAAAGGCGCGGGATTACAGGCTGAGCCACCGAGCCCGGCTTTTTCTGCCTTTTTTTGTTGTTTGTCACCCAGGTTGGAGTGCAGTGACATGCTCAAGGCTCACCACAGACTCAACCTCCTCGGCTCAGGCGATCCCCCGCCTCAGATCTGGGTAGCTGAAGCTGCAGGCACATGCCTCCACAGCTGGCTAATTTTTTTAGTTTTTTTGTAGAGACAGGGTCTCATTGTGTTGCCTAGGCTATGTTTCTGCTTTGTAAATGAATTTTCTAGCCTGGGGACTACATAATTCCCTATATACTTTGATTTTATCGAGACTTTTAACACAGTATTGTGGTGTGATTGTGAACAAGATGAGAAAATGGGCCAGTGGGTTGAACCACTTTGGTTTAACATTTTCTCTCAAGAGAAAAAGGAGAGTTGGGTATAAATGAAATACCAAAAAGGTGGGGAGACACAGCGGAGATTAAACAATGATGAAAGAGGGCTTCTGTTTGGGTCTGGAAGCAGTGACACTTTCAGGGTGCTTCTGCAGCCTGTGAGGTACTGGGAGCATGAGCGACAGTTCCAGAGGGGAAGGAGAGGCCTGCTCCTCTGTCCCCTACCACTGACCGTGGCCATGCAGGTGGAGCCTGAGCCAGCCAGGCGCTTCATTTTCAGAGGGACTTCCATTTGCTGTTCCAAGGGGTCATTATTCTGAGCAGAAGCTGAGACGACAACTGCTAGGAGGTCGGTCCAAGTTCTGGGGTGAAGATGATCCTACCTGGCACTGCTCTGTCTTAACAACTCACCGACAGTTAGTCCCACACAGACGGGCTCCATCCTTAGCCTGCAGTCATAGGGGCTGATGGTGCTGTGCTGAAGAATGCCCCAGAGACCATGTGGAAGCCATGCGGCCTGACTTCCACAAGTCATGTCAGTCCCCAGACTCCACCTATATCATGCTCTCACGAAGTGGATATTCCTGGCCAACTTGAGGAGAGGATGTGTGACAGAAACTGTGCT